TTCGAGCGACTTCTCCTGTCACACTATGTCCAGTGGTTGCTCCCGTCACACTATGTCCAGTGGTTGCTACGGGCAATCAGTACTCGATTGCACAAATCCATTTTCGTGATTAACGTGCCTGTCATTTCAGCGACTCGCCCGGCTAGCTAGCATAGTTGGCTAAACCGGATTACGCGGTGATCGGGTGACGAACTCCTTATGGTCCGGGTTCACGCCCGGGGGTAGGCAGAAAAGCCACATTTTTCTCAGATTTACGGTATCTATCATGGAATCAAGGCCGAAGGCTTGCGATATCCATAATACCGAGCCTAAGCGTTACCAACTCATGGCTTCTGGATACTACAAAAAAAAAAAATTCCAACGACTCCTATATGTTGAGGCCACTGTCGCTAGAGACCATCCAGGCCGATGCACATCTTTGTGAAAACTATCCAGACCTCTCGTCTGCGGCTTGTCACGTTACCTTGAGGATCCCTCACGCTGGAAACCTGTTACTGCGTTAGCACCCGCTAGCAAAATGAACACTGTATTCCGTTACCCAGCGTGACTCAAAGTGCACAAGTCTAGACTAGCAATACTCAGACTAGATCACACATTTACATGCCTTTCCTCTACAAAGTCATGGAGCCAATGGTCTGTCTGTCTGTCTGTCTCTCTCTCTCTCTCCTCACATCCCGTTTAATCTTGTACCTCACTGCACGAGGTTTTGCGTTCATTAACGAACTTCGCATTCATATACCCATATATTGCACACAACAGTCTGTTCTTATTCCCTCCCTCCCCTGCCCCCCCTCCCCCCCCCCACAGTGGGGCCCCGGAACCCACACAGGTAAGTTAGTTTATGAGCTGGCAAGACTGCTCTAGTACAGATACCAGGTATTGAAAATAAATACTTGTACCCGACCGACTGACTGACTGATTGACTGACCGACTGATTGACTGACCGACTGATTGACTGACTGACGTTCTACTCCACCAGGAAATCATACCGGTTAGTAACTTAGCTAGACAGTTTTTGAAAATCTTGAGAACCTAAGATATTTCCTATGACAAAATCCGGATGTGAGTCATCAACTATTTCGCAGCCACTAAAGAAGAAAATCAGGTCTTTTGAAATTAAATGTACCGTGAAGAATCTTGCAGTATCATTTATTAAGAAGAGGGTAAACTACGGGCATTTTACAAGATCTGAATATAGAAGGTTACTGGCTAGTAAACACTGTCGTTTCTTGTAAAATGAAATTCTTCGCCTTTATTAAACGCCATAATGCTTTGTAGAGGGAGCTGCCGTGTAACCAGGGCGGCACTGTTTATTTTGAGAAACATTGTTCTAAACATTATTTAAAGGTGAGAGGATCTACTTTACCAAGTACCCGCTCCCTCCCCTGCTGAGATCAAACGGCTGGTCCCTTAGAGCGACAGGTTGTTGCCCACAAAAGCGTTGCATAAATCACGAACTCTGTAGCTCTAGCAACTACCCCATTGTTCTTTGCAATGCCTGCACCGCGAACTGAAGTCCAAAATGGAACTTACAAAACCCGAAGCACAAGCAAACGGCTTAACGACTTCGCCTGCCCGGCTCGCTAGCGTAGTCGGTTAAACCTTGACGAAACCTTGTGGACTGGGTTCACGCCCGGGGGTAGGCAGAAAAGCCACATTTCTCTCAGATCTACGGTATCTATCATGGAATCAAGGCCGAAGGGTTGCGATATCCATAGTTAGTACCGAACCAAAGGGTTAATAACTCAAGGTTTCTGGATACTTAAAAAAAAAAAAAAGCGACTTCGCCTTGGAAACATTGTTCGAAGCTATATATTCTTATCATCACAGTTCTTTCAAGTTAATTGATGATTATTTTTTTATGTTTAGATATCACTGTGGGATACGGCCGGCGTGGAAAGGTTTCGAACCCTGACCAGGAATTTCTTTAGGAACACCAGCGCAGTCTTACTTGTGTTTAGTGTGGACGAGCCTTCCACTTTAAGCTACCTCAGTAAATGGGAAGAAAACGTCAAAGAGTATGCTCCTACAGGTAGCAGATTATTTTCACACCCCCCCCCCCCCTTACCTGTTGGAATCTTTGTGTGATATGTGGTAGTGTCATTAAAAGGTCCCACGTCAGTCTTCTTCTTTCTTTTTCGCGTTCACTGGCTGTAAACTTCGGGGGGAGGTGGGGTGGGTGGGTGGGGAGGGGGAGGGTTGAGTTTTGGTTGTTTGTCCACCCCTGGACTTTAGTTTTGTTCCAGAACCTCAGTGTTGCGCGCACTTCCGTTTAACAGATCTGGCTTTACTGTATGCAGATTGTTGGTTCCTTGCCTCTCAGGCAGATGCACTCCGACTTCTAAACAGACTATAGTGATCCATCTGCTTCTCCGAACTGTACACGCTCTCCCGCAAGTACTAACCGACTTCGAAGGAAACTACAAATTAACCAACTTTTACGACATGCTTGTTGGGGACCCAGTGGGTCTGTTCTTGTTTTCTCTACAATAGGGCCCTGGAACCCACACAGAGATCATGCCAAGGAACACAGCAGGTCTCGAATCCAGAGCATGAACTATAGCAGGGTGGATACACTTAAAATAGACCTGGTGTCAAAGCAGTGCTAGATTAATCCATAAGCCAAATAAGATATAGCTTAAGCCCCTACTGTCTGCAGGGGCCTTTACAACGTGTTTGCCCTCTTAAATGCATTTTAGGAAATTTAAAAAAAATATTGTTAAGTTGTCTTCTTCTTTTTGGCGTTCGCCGGCTGTAAACTCCGGCGGAAAAGTTATGGTTGTTCGTCCACTTATGGACTCTAGTCCTGTTCCAGAAACAGAGTGTTGCATGTATGATTTATTTGATTGCAGACTGTTAGTTCCTTACCTCTTAGGCAGATTTACTCTCACTTCAAAGGAAGCTCCCCAATTAATCGACTTTTACGACATCCTTTGGGCAGGCAGTGGGTCTATTCTTGTTTTACCCACAGTGGGGCCCCGGAACCCACACGGGTTTCAAGTTGTAACTCAGAGACTTTTACATGATCATATAAAGTATAATTTATGTGATTTCGCAAACACATTTTTCGTTACTTCTTTAGATAAACATTAATTGACAATATTTGTCCATGATCATATTTTCATTATCCATATTTAAAAGGTGTATATATGATTAGCTAGGGTAGTTTGAAACAGTAGGTCCTTCTTTCTCGGCATTCAGAGCCCTTGAGGTTCATTGCTGCAGATATCACCCGCCTCCACACATCTCTCTGGTTGGCCTTCTCTTTCCAGTTGATGACACTAAGTGTTTGCAGGTCTGTCGTAACATTATCTCTCCATAACTTCTTTGTCTGCCTCGTGGTCTACAACCATTCATCTCCCTTGTGTATACAATTTTTACTTCTCTGTCATCTGACATTCTTTCAATATGCCGCAACCATTTCAGTCTATTAGCGCTCATGATGCCAGTGATCAATGGTGATTTAAACAGATTATGAATTTCATTGTTGCTTCTCACTCTCCATTCACTGCTGTTTGCATATGTGATGGGTCCAAAGATTCGTCGTGAGACTGTTTTTGAAAACCCGTGATAAAGCTTAATCTCTTTTAGTTGTGCTCCAAGTTTCAGAGCCACATAAAACGACTGGTCTTATCAACGTTTGAAATATTTTGATCTTAGTGTTGCGAGACGCTTTGACTTTAGCAGATGTCGAAGGGTATACGTTTTACTTTATTTCCAGATTGTATTTCTTCTCTCAGCATGTTGAAGCAGTTTGAGTTTGCACCCAAGTCTTATGAGTTTCCGTACATTTGATTTGAAGTAAGGCCCTCAGGGCTTTAAAATACTTAGGGCCTCATTAAATCTAAATCTGGCCCTGGGTGAAAGAGATCTGCGAAAATAAGACTAATGTTTGTGATTGCCAGTCTGTTAGGTAACTGTGACCCGATAAATTAATCAGTCACCATCTGCTATGCCGACAGTTGTAGTGGTCCTAATGTAATGATGTCAGTATTAATGGCAGCAGTGATGGTGAAAGTATTAGCATTATATTTGAAATAGATGTTTGATGCAGTAGTTGCAGCAGCAACAGAACCAGAGATGACTGTCGTAGTAATAGCAGCAGCAGCACAACATAGCAGTAGGAATAGTAGCAGTAATATCTTAACTGCAATATTAACGTTGTAGCAGCAGTGGTATCTGTTAGTAATTCAAAGATTTCCCTTCACTAAACTGAAGAAACAAATATATTCAACACAAAAATATGAGGTATAATTGATGAAACATTTCCTATTAGCATACTTTCCCTATGCTCCCCCCACAGCCCAGCGGTTCTTGATAGGCAATAAAGTTGACAAAGACCAGCTGGTATCTCAAGAGGCAGCCCAACACTTTGCTGCATTCCATAACTGTGAATTTGTTTTTATGACATCAGCAAAAACAGGTACGTTCACCGGTTGTATGAAAAATGTAGCAAAAAAACATGTAATGTTAATTTTTACTCATTAAATGAGAAGAGCAGGAGGAGCAGGTGTAGTTGTAGTAGCAGTTGTGGTGGTGCTACAAGAAAAAAAAAGAAAAAGAAGAAGAAGAAGAAGACGTTGTCAGTGATCTTTGATGCTGATGTTTTAGAAAACACTCTAGTATCTCAGTTAAAAGGAAAGGCATAAAGGACTACATTATTCTTTAAAAGAAACAGAGAGGCAAGAGTAGAAGAGACTGCACATCAAGGGTGCCGGAACTTGGGAAATAATAATAATTCTTATTCTTGCACACTTAAACAAGGCCTAAGCCCCTTCAGCCCCCACATGTGTTCTTGCTGGACAGAGTTGGGAACACAACAAGGAGAAGAGTCATACCACTGGCATCACCAGTAAAGTACTTCAGCTTTAACTGGATGTTGAATTAAGAATCTTCATCATAGCACTCAGGACACACCCATAAGCGCTCCATCCTCATATTCAGCAGCAAACAAACAGTTCCAATTCCGATGGTACCTGTATAGCTTTAACTGAAAATGTAAATAATTTGAGGATAGATGATTATGATCTTGGCAATGATAATAATTAATGATGGTGACATTGTTGTTAGTGGCACATGGAAGAAACTGCAGGTCATAGCATAGACCAGGCGAGCTTGGAAAGGGTCTGTACATTGTCATGAGATAAACAGAGCAAGAGGAAGAATAATATTATGCAGATGACGATGAGGAAAAAAGAGACTAATGGTGATGATAGTGGTTTTGGTGATGAGAGCATTTGTGCCGGAACATGAAGGCTGAGGCACTCGCAGAGGATATACAAGGGGGCTTCGAAGGTGGGAAAAGGGTCCTTATCTTAGTATGCAAAAGGACATTAAAAGCGGGAAAAAGGTCCTTTATTTAGTATGCAAGGGGACATTGAAGGCAGGAAAAGGGTCCTTTATTTAGTATCCAAGGGGACATTGAAGGCTGAAAAAGAGTTCTTTATTTAGTATGCAAAAGGACATTAAAAGCGGGAAAAAGGTCCTTTATTTAGTATACAAGGGGACATTGAAGGCTGAAAAAGGGTTCTTTATTTAGTATGCAAGGGGACATTGAAGGCAGGAAAAGGGTTCTTTTTTTAGTATGTAAGGGGACATTGAAGGCTGAAAAAGGGTTCTTTATTTAGTATGCAAGGGGACATTGAAGGCAGGAAAAGGGTCCTTTATTTAGTATCCAAGGGGACATTAAAGGCGGGAAAAGTGTCCTTTACTTAGTATGCAAGGGGACATTGAAGGTGGGAAAACGGTTCTTTATTTAGTATGCAAGGGGACATTGAAGGCAGGAAAAGGGTCCTTTACTTAGTATGCAAGGGGACATTGAAGGCAGGAAAAGGGTCCTTTACTTAGTATGCAAGAGGACATTAAAGGCGGGAAAAGGGTCCTTTACTTAATATGCAAGGGGACATTGAAGGTGGGAAAAGGGTCCTTTACTTAGTATGCAAGAGGACATTAAAGGCGGGAAAAGGGTCCTTTACTTAGTATGCAAGGGGACATTAAAGGCTGAAAAAGGGTTCTTTATTTAGTATGCAAGGGGACATTGAAGGCAGGAAAAGGTTTTTTTATTTAGTATGCAAGGGGACATTGAAGGCTGAAAAAGGGTTCTTTATTTAGTATGCAAGGGGACATTGAAGGCAGGAAAAAGGTCCTTTATTTAGTATGCAAGGGGACATTGAAGGCAGGAAAAGGGTTCTTTATTTAGTATGCAAGGGGACATTGAAGGCAGGAAAACGGTTCTTTATTTAGTATGCAAGGGGGCATTAAAGGCGGGAAAAGGGTTCTTTACTTAGTATGCAAGGGGACATTGAAGGCAGGAAAAGGGTCCTTTACTTAGTATGCAAGGGGACATTAAAGGCTGAAAAAGGGTTCTTTATTTAGTATGCAAGGGGACATTGAAGGCAGGAAAAGGGTTCTTTATTTAGTATGCAAGGGGACATTGAAGGTGGGAAAGGGGTTCTTTATTTAGTATGCAAGGGGACATTAAAGGCGGGAAAAGGGTCCTTTACATAGTATCCAAGGGGACACTGAAGGCGGGAAAAGGGTCCTTATTTAGTATGCAAGGGGACATTGAAGGCGGGAAAAGGGTAGTTTACTTTGTATGCAAGGGGACATTGAAGGCGGGAAAAGTGTCCTTTACTTTGTATGCAAGGGGACATTAAAGGCGGGAAAAGGGTTCTTTATTTAGTATGCAAGGGGACATTAAAGGCAGGAAAAGGGTTCTCTATTTAGTATGCAAGGGGACATTAAAGGCTGAAAAGGGGTTCTTTATTTAGTATGCAAGGGGACATTGAAGGCAGGAAAAGGGTTCTTTATTTAGTATGCAAGGGGACATTGAAGGTGGGAAAGGGGTTCTTTATTTAGTATGCAAGGGGACATTAAAGGCGGGAAAAGGGTCCTTTACATAGTATCCAAGGGGACACTGTAGGCGGGAAAAGGGTCCTTATTTAGTATGCAAGGGGACATTGAAGGCGGGAAAAGGGTCCTTTACTTTGTATGCAAGGGGACATTGAAGGTGGGAAAAGTGTCCTTTACTTTGTATGCAAGGGGACATTAAAGGCGGGGAAAAGGTCCTTTACTTAGTATCAAAGGGGACATAAAAGGCGGGAAAAGGGTTCTTTATTTAGTATACAAGGGGACATTGAAGGCAGGAAAAGGGTTCTTTATTTAGTATGCAAGGGGACACTAAAGGCGGGAAAAGGGTTCTTTTTTTAGTATGCAAGGGGACACTGAAGGCGGGAAAAGGGTTCTTTAGTTAGTATGCAAGGGGACACTGAAGGCGGGAAAATGGTTCTTTAGTTAGTATGCAAGGGGACACTGAAGGCGGGAAAAGGGTTCTTTAGTTAGTATGCAAGGGAACACTAAAGGTAGGAAAAGGGTCTTTTACTTAGTATGCAAGTGGACATTGAAGGCGGAAAAAGCGTCTTTTAATTCACTTAGTATGTATTTATACACTGAATATTATTTGAGATATATTATTGTATTTATTTACCATCCTGACATACATTAATAATAATTATTATTGCACACTCAAACAAGGTTTAAGCCTCTTGAGCTCCGTCCACAGAAATTAAAGGCCCAAGTGCCAGATCACAATTTCTTCCTGATGTCGCTCCTAGATGAGAGTGATGTAACCATACATTTTCCGATTTTGTTGATGGTGGCAGGGATAAACGTACTAATTAATGGAAACAATATTAATAATATTTAAAAATGTACTAATTTTTGTCTGTGTTTCTGCAGGCCAAGGTATATCAGAAGTGCTCTCAACTGTCGGACAGCATCTTCTCTCTCGTCACAAAAAGGCATCATACGAAAAAGATAACTCCTGGCTTGAACACAGCATTTACGTCAATAGTGGGCAGCACAGTCAAAACGGATCAACCAGTTGCTGTTAAAATCCTGACTTTTTCATGTCTTATATTTATAGTTTCAGACTGTTTGTGTTCTGACAGCTGCCTTATGCATCTGATGCATGTGTCTGCTATTGGCTTTGCTGAAACTGCAGTCTGTGTCCATTTAAAAAAAACAAAAACAAGGGACAGTGATGGACATTCTATGTGATTTCACTGGCATAGGAACGAAGCAACTATGTGGTCAGGAACGGAGCAACTATGTGGTCAGGAACAGAGCAACTATGTGGTCAGGAACAGAGCAACTATGTGGTCAGGAACAGAGCAACTATGTGGTCAGGAACAGAGCAACTATGTGGTCAGGAACGGAGCAACTATGTGGTCAGGAACAGAGCAACTATGTGGTCAGGAACAGATCAACTATGTGGTCAGGAACAGAGCAACTATGTGGTCAGGAACGGAGCAACTATGTGGTCAGGAACAGAGAAACTATGTGGTCAGAAACAGAGCAACTATGTGGTCAGGAACAGAGCAACTATGTGGTCAGGAACAGAGCAACTATGTGGTCAGGAACAGAGCAACTATGTAGTCAGGAACAGAGCAACTATATGGTCAGGAACAGAGCAACTATGTGGTCAGGAACGGAGCAACTATGTGGTCAGGAACGGAGCAACTATGTGGCCAGGAACATAGCAACTATGTGGTCAGGAACAGAGCAACTATGTGGTCAGGAACAGAGCAACTATGTGGCCAGGAACATAGCAACTATGTGGTCAGGAACAGAGCAACTATGTGGTCAGGAACAGAGCAACTATGTGGTTAGGAACAGAGCAACTATGTGGTCAGGAACAGAGCAACTATGTGGTCAGGAACGGAGCAACTATGTGGTCAGGAACAGAGCAACTATGTGGTCAGGAACGGAGCAACTATGTGGTCAGAAACAGAGCAACTATGTGGTTAGGAACAGAGCAACTATGTGGTCAGGAACGGAGCAACTATGTGGTCAGGAACAGAGCAACTATGTGGTTAGGAACAGAGCAACTATGTGGTCAGGAACAGAGCAACTATGTGGTTAGGAACAGAGCAACTATGTGGTTAGGAACAGAGCAACTATGTGGTCAGGAACAGAGCAACTATGTGGTCAGGAACAGAGCAACTATGTGGTTAGGAACAGAGCAACTATGTGGTCAGGAACAGAGCAACTATGTGGTTAGGAACAGAGCAACTATGTGGTTAGGAACAGAGCAACTATGTGGTCAGGAACTGAGCAACTATGTGGTCAGGAACAGAGCAACTATGTGGTTAGGAACAGAGCAACTATGTGGTCAGGAACGGAGCAACTATGTGGTCAGGAACAGAGCAACTATGTGGTGACCTGTTTGCTAGGAAGTTGGATCTGCTTTTGCTTGATTACACCTCCACCAGTTTAATTCAAGCAGATATTTCTGACATCTTAACTTATTATGCACATTATCAAATGTCAGATTCAAGCAATTCCTGTAGATAATTTACTTTGTTCACAAACCTCAACATAAATTTAATAAGACACATACATATGGCACAGTTTCCAGTGAAAATAATTAACTGTAAGTTAAGTGCATATGAAAACAAATGTCATAGAAAATGATGAAAAACAAAAATAACACTAATTAGAGATGACAAGAGAAATGTCTGGACAATTACTTTTAACACAAGTTATAAGACAGAGAAGTTGACACTATATTGGACATTTTCTAAGAACATATGAAAAGAAACCACCAATCAGGCAATGAAATGGGAGATAGAGGGATTCAGGAAATGTGGAAGTCAAAAAGCAACCCTAAAGCAAATGATTAGATGCTAGATTGGATTAATAAGTAAAAAGTAAACCCTTTTCCACGCCTTTAGGCGTATAGGGCATATAGGGATAGACCTATATTTTAAAAGACCAATCGGTACAAGATGGGTGATGCGGTCAGAATCTTCCTGGGACTGCACTGGGTACCCACTCAAGGCTGGGCCGACCTGGGAGCAAAAGGTCATTTTTTAAAGAAGTCCGGCTCCGCAAGGGAGCAAAACCCACAACCTTCCGATCTGCGGCGGGAATCTAGCTGCTCTGCAACAGTGACTCCCTGGATTGGATTACATCTATGATATCAAAGCGATTGCAAAGGACAGGTCAGAATAGAGAAATAGAATGTGAGCTTGACATATAAAAGGGCACAATAGGACAATAAATTAAAAAAAAAAAGAATTCAATTCTCTTGTCCATAATCAGCTGTCAGTTAGTTGCGTATCCTTTAACTCTTTGAGTCCCAGAGGGTTCAGCATCACAGGCCCAAGGGGTAGTCAAGAGAGACGTAAAATCGGCGCATCATGCGTTCATTGGGCTTCTAGGCAGTAACCTATGAATGTATGATGTGTTTCTTGGGACTCAAAGAGTTAAAGGATGTTGCAGAACCAACCCCAGCATTTTCTGTATGGCTGTTAGAGTTTTTCTAGGCAAATTTACGTACAATAGTTTGCTATTGCTTACTGAACAGTTGGCTCCCGATGTCAGTGTCAAAACTGTCACAAGATGGGCTTCTGACAGATTGCCTGCAGCTGGGATCGAACGTAGCGCGTTCAGAACGCCTAAGCCACAGATGCTGACAAATAGCTCTGTGTGAATATAAAACTGTAATCACATTTGTATAGGCCTTAAATTGCCTACTCTTATAGAGGCCATTGTTCTGGGCACCATTTTATTTGTGTGTGTGTGTGTTGTAAACAGTAAAGTGAAGGACCCCTTTGACTGCATGAGGCATATGATGCTTAACCTCTTTTTATATAGACCCAATATCATGTCGGCCGCCTTTACTTCACTCAACATTTCCAGCGATCCCTTTTTTAGGCTGTGTCAACAACCTGGGAACCAAGGTCAGTTTTGAAAATATCCCCTTCGATGCAGATTTGAACATCAGACCTTCACGACGGCAGGCTAACTTCTTGCCACTGCCACAGTTCCCTGTTTGTTTTTGTTAACCATATTTGAGCACTTCAAATGTATAATTTTCTTATGTAATGATTTTATTGTTACCCTGGTTGTTTTTTTAAAGACATTGTGCTTTCCTTTCGAAAGCCCACCCCTAAAGTTACTATTTTTTAAAATACAACCCAGCCATGTTGATGTTGAAACTACGTCTTACCCATATTAACTTTTACAACTTTTTTACAATAAACAAATTTAAAAAAAAATTAGTTATGTTTATTTAAACATTTTACTTGTGTTGTTCAACTGTAATTTTGTTTTGCACCCGTTTTTTTTTTTTTATTATTCACCTTGAAATTTTGTTTCCTATCAGCCCAAAAATCCTGGGTTAAAATCTATTCCCTGCAGATTATAAGGGGAATAATGACCTTGGCTCCGAGGTCGACCAAACCTAAAAAATGGTTACAAGATAATTTTCTGGAAAGTAAAGGTGGCTGGTATGATGCTGACCACATCACTCATCGAGGACTGACTGGTCGGTTAAATTGAGTCTAGGAGGCTGCGTGGTCTCAAGGCACCGTGTCCACCTTGAGTGCTAGAGGTTCTGGATAGAATTCCCGGTAAGGGCTGGGATTTTCTCACTTGGACTTCTAGTAATTCCCCCCTGGTTTCTGGGTAGTGAAATCATTTGCCCGCGTGCATCGTTGCGCACGTAAAAATCCCTTGGCAGTTGGAAATCGAAAAGAGTAGCATAACGGCGCTGCCCGGGCAACATTTTGAGTTAAAAATCTACCCAAAGTATTTCAGGATCCTCATCAGTGGTACAGAGCCTTTGCACTGTGCTGAGCTTCTTCAGACTCAGATGTGAGTTAGAAGAACAGAGCACTTATGGGTTACTATCGGTGTGCCATGATGTTGATCCATTGTTCAAAACTCAAACCTCAACCAGCGATGATCTACGGGCCAGCAGTTGAATAGCCCTGCTCTAGACTCTTCTGACCAAATGTAAAGGTAAGAGAGCATATTTATGCTACGGAAAGGAATCAAGGAGTAAATTTATTCACACACTTGGCATTGCTTGAGACTGAAAGAGTTGACTATACAGTTTGCACTCTCTGAGGTTGTTATTCATGCATCTCTTCATCTTTTCTTTCCTTTTAGTATCAATATAGATTTTATAAGAGTGTTATTTATTTTAGGTTACAGGTAATTCTGGATTCGAAAGGTCTGCCACTCAACAAGGCACTTGATGATGATGGCCTGTAGCACGATGTTTGGAAGAAACCCAGTTTTTACGCTGCCTGAAAAAAAAAAAAAGCAGAGCCAGTGTCCTCAATAACGTACGAGCTCAGTCACGGAATGGATTAAATTCATTGATTGAGTTTTCACTGTACTGGGTGCTGTGCTTTGTCTGCCACTCCCCACCCCCTTCCCCCCCCTCGCTAGGTTTTCGAAGGAAAAAGGTTGACATGCTTAACATGGATTATCCTAAAATAAAATAAACAAAACAAATACATCTGGCTCTTTAGGAACAGTCAAGAAAACCTAATTCAAACAATAATTATTTCAACATCTTTTGTTAACACATTTTTATTGAGTTTTGTGTTGGAACACTGCCTCTTAATTAATACAACAGTATGTGTGGTACAACACAGGCAATGGACATTCGAAGAACTTAAAATTTAGGGAAAAAAAAAAAATGTCAACAGTTGAAAATATTGATGGGTAAGCAAATCTTAGTCACAAAGACATAGAAGTCAACTGTTAACAATATAGATGTGTCAGCATTTCCTGAAACACAAATTGGAACATAAAGATATGCAGTGGTATTTGGTCACTGACCAATAAGCAACAAAAAGGCATATGAATGGATGACTTAACCCACAGTCTCTAGACTGAGTGACCTAATGAAATATAAACCTTACAAGTTAATAAATGGGTCCCCCTTGTGGGTTCCGGGGCCCTACTATGGGAAAACAAGAATAGACCCATTGCCTACTCAAAAGCATGTCGTAAGAGTCGCCTAATTGGGAGCTTCCTTTGAAGTCGGAGTGCATCTGCCTGAGAGGCAAGGAACCAACAGTCTGCATACAGATTGGTCAAATGGATGCAAACGCAACACTCAGGTTCTGGAACAGGACTGCAGTCCAGAAGTGGACGAACAACCAGAACTTTCCGCCAGAGTTTACAGCCGGTGAAGAAGAAAAAGAAGAAATGGGTTATACAGCACACACACACACAAATCAGTTGCAAATTTAAAGAAATTTAAAAAATCTGTAAAGAGATTATATCCTGCATAAATTTGTTAAAAAAACTATGAAAGAGAGATAGATGGAGACTACGGGGAAGAGAGAATGCTCCATTACCTGTTTTACTGTCTCTAACCCCATATCAATCCCCTACCCCAAGCAGCAAGCCAATATCTAATAACTGTCAAGAGCTATGGTTATGAATCAAACAGAGACAAAGACAATGACACAAAATAGAAAGAAAATAAAAAATGTGGACTGGACAATGTCAGATTGTGCCATCATGGAAAGATCAGAATGCTGGAAATCCATTGCAGTCAACTGCCTCTGACACCACCGAAACTCATATAATCAAAATATATGTAAATTAAACTGGTTGTCTATCTGGGTTTGGGTGGACCCATGCAGTTTCCATCAGGATACTTCTCCCGAAATAGTTTGACAATATCAGGATCCTTGAGCCTAACTCCTTCCACCTGATTGCCAAGTGTTATCCTAGAAGAAACAAAAGTGTATTAATTAGGAAATCTGCATGCATATGTTTAGTGAAGTAAAGGACCCTTTTCCACACCTTTAGTCGTATTTGGCAGATAGGGCTAGACCTATATTTTATAGACCAATCGGCACAAGATGGGGATGATGTCAGCTCATGGTGATTGCCATTACTTCCCGTGACTGCACCCGGTACCACTCAAGGTTTGGTCAACCTGGGAGCCAAGGTCTTTTTTGAAAAAAAGTCAGGCTCCCCCAGGGAGCGAGCCCACGACCTTCTGATCCACAGGCGAGCGTCTAGCATACGTTAAACAAAAATTCAGAAATATAACTGACTAAATGTTTTATTAAGAAACCGACAAATCTCTAAAAACAAATCAAATACAGAATCTTGCTCTCCCTCTCACACATGCATGCACACACATTCATGATAAAAGCAAGTTAAAAGCTACAGATGAACACAAAATAAAAACAGCTATAAGCCAGTGATTACGTTTCTACAACATTATCTAAAGACAAAAACAATTACAAATCAATATGGAAATTTGAAAGATCTAGAAAGAAAAATAGTGTCTCAAGACATAACAAAGTGGGAAACAAAGACATAGGATGGAAAGTGGAACAATGCAGTAATTAATATTCAGAATGTTACAAGCTTCATTTTCAAAGAATGTAAAATTCAGCGTGCAGGCCCATTTTACATTTGGTCCACCCAAATATCTTTCACAGAGCAATTGTATTTTATCTATGCCACCATTTACCTCAGCGAGGTGTTGGGGGGAGATGTAAGGATAGCTTCTGCGCTTTTTCTAATGCATTGTATAAGTTGGTGTTCATTTCTGTTAGGTTGCTCCTGATGATGTCGCTCCATCTCTTGCATGGTCTTCCCCTTGCTCTGTGTTCATTTAATTTCTTCAGCGTGGCTCTATGTGGCAGCTGGTACCAGGGCATTCTCGACAGGATGGCTAAACCATCTCATTTGTTGTTGTTTAATGATTTGTTTGACTGGTTCAAGTCCTAGTCTCCTTCTAATTTCTTTAGTCCTGATTTTATCTCTTCTTGTCACACTGGCAGCTCTCCTAAGACATCTCATCTCTGTTGTTATGATCTTCCGCTCATTAGTTGTTATAAGGGTCTATGTTTGGCACTGGTAGCACAATGTCGGCAAAGTAAACCGTTCTTATGTCTCGGCAGTTGAAATTTTCTTATTAGTAAGAATCTTTTAACAGTGCAGAGTAGCTTTCATAAAGGCTACCGGCCTCCTGATATAAGTTTTCTGACAGAATGATCGAAGAAGAAGAAGAAGAAGACACATAGATCATTATGGTCTGAGGAAAATGGCGGTGCAGAGAGTTACCAGAGAATCTGATCTATGCTCAACACTCAAGGGAAAGGCAAGATAGAATTACAATCAGACAGTAACTGGTCCCATCGGAACTGCAACTCTTCACTTGCTGCTAAAGATATTGACAGAGTACCTATAGGAGTGTCCCAAGTGCTGTAATGTCAATTCTCAATTCAACATAACTATGTAATACAGTGATATTAGGGCACCCTATGGTTATGAAGTAGCCTACTGTCGTACGCAGGACTTCCATAAACTTTGACATCCACTTAAACAAATTTACATGCTACCATTTTCTCAATCAAATGATTTGCCAATTAGCATAACAAATTAAAATCAAACAGTTCTCATACCCCCTCAACTAAAGAAAACACAATCAAACTTACCAGTTTGGTTGCACATTGTGTGGACGACCAAACAGCTCCACCTTCCTTGTACCTGGCGACAGTCTCTCAATTATTCCATAGATCTCATCAGGCTTATGACTGGTTGCCCGAACCTATCATTTACAAACACAAATTATATATGAATATTAGAGTTCCACAGTATGTGATTATATGACATAACATTTGTTAGAAGAATGGTGTTATGTACCATACAAAATAAAACCATTCACCCTGTAAAATAAAACCATGCACCCTGTAAAATAAAACCATGCACCCTGTAAAATAAAATCATGCACCCTGTAAAAATAAAGCCATTCACCTTGAAAAATAAAACCATGCACCCTGTAAAACGAAACCATGCACCCTGTAAAATAAAACCATGCACCCTGTAAAATAAAACCATGCACCATGTAAAATAAAAGCATTCACCCTGTAAAAAAAACCATGCACCCTGTAAAATAAAACCATTCACCCAGTAAAATAAAACCAGGCACCCTGTAAAATAAAACCATTCCCCCTGTAAAATAAAACAATGTACCCTAAAAAAATAAAACCATTCACCCTGTAAAATAAAACGAGGCACGCTGTAAAAAAAAACTAACAGCAAGTTGTATATGGTATTGTAGCATGAAACTGTGAATGTCCATACCTCTGCAACAATGACATCGCAATCCATTCCTTTGTTGACTCCTTTAGGGTTCCCTTTCACACCAACCTATAAACAAATACAGATACAAGAGCTCCAGTGTCAATAAATTGATACCTGTATTGAAAAGGTGAGTCGCTGTGGTGTAGCGGCTAGATGCTCGCCTGCGGATCAGAGGGTAGTGGGTTCGCTCCCTGGCAGAGCTGGACTTTTTCTCAAAAACGACTCTGGCTCCCAGGTAGACCCAGCCTTGAGTGGGTCCCAGGTCCAGTTATGGGAAGTAAAGGCGGCAGGCACGATGCTGACCAAATCACCCATCTTGTGGCGATTGATCTAAAAAAATATAGGTCTAGCCCTATATGCCTAAAGGCGTGGAAAAGGGTCCTTTACTTTTTATTTACTTGACTTGTATTCCAAAGACATAGAAAACAAATAGAAATAAATGAGCTAAGTTGAGTTAAAACTGACACCACAGAGTCACACACACACACAATTAATCTACAGGGCCCAAAGAAATAAAAGGAAACCATAAAAATTTGCAGAAGAGAATTTAATTTCTGAACAAAAAAAAAGGTAGGAGGAGCTTAGGGCAAGCTGCATGCATTAGCAAAGCGCATGACTACTTGGCACAACTGGCTGAGAACACACACATATTTGGAGGGATGAAGACAAGAAGCCAAAAGAAGAACCAACAATATCTGCCATGAATATTAACTTCTTCATTCATATTTAAAAGGATAGTTAGTATAAAGTGTTATGGTTTACATACAGCAAGGTTGACAAACACACTGTGTTGTGGTTGACAGCTAAGCTGAAAAAAATCTGTGCCTCCCCGTGTGGGTTATGGGGCCCTATAATAGGGAAAACAAGAATAGACCTACAGCATACCCAAACGCATGTCGTAAGAGTCGACGAATTGGGAGCTTCTTTTGAAGTCAGAGTGTATCTGCCTGAGAGGCAAGGAACCAGCAGTCTGCATACAAATGAGTCAGACCTGTTAAACGGATGCACACACAACTCAGGTTCTGGAACAGGGCTGCAGTCCAAAAGTGGATGAACAACCAGAACTTTCTGCCAGAGTTTACAGCTGGTGGACACGAAGAAGAAGAAGAAGAATCTGTGCCTACTGACCCAATACATCAAGTTTCAGGTCACCTTTAATTAGTCTTCTACAGTATGCCTGCTATTGGATCATTGGGTTTTAATCCCCCCCCCCCCCCCCCCCCCACCCCCCCCCCCCCCCCCCCCCCCCCAACCACTCTGGGATGAACATTACCATTCTTGTTCACTTACCAAGCAATGTTCTTTGCCATGATTAATCCAGTGCCCTGTCCTGCCTGTCCTGATGATTCTCTGAAGCTGGTTTGTCTTGACCCAGATAATTTCATCCACTCGCTTATACCTGAAATAAGAAAACTATACTTTATATCTGAAAGAAAAAACCCAGTAAAACTTCAGAAATCAAGTAAACTGACTAAAGACTGGATTACCTTGCAATGTAAGTAAGTAAGTAAGTAGGTAAGCTGTACACCACCAGGACATCACACAAATGATAAACACCCGGTGACACAAAGTGCCACCATGTGGAAAAGGATCACCCGTGGAGAGGTCCCGGAAACCCCATTCAGCCGTTAGGCCATATTTAGGGCCCCCGGCACAAACCGAGGTGGGACTTCAAAATAAAAAAAAAATTACATCCCACAAAGGGGACGACTCGTATGCTACCTTGCAATGTCTACTGAACGGGCTCCTATGGTTTGGCAAGAGTGCTATAAAGTTGATTTTAAAATTACCATTAACCAAACTGACAATTAAATTATTGAGCAAACTTCCTAATAAAAATAGACTACTTTTTGTAACATTTGTGTAAATTAGCCTGATTTACCTTTTCATAGGCGTTAAACATATTATGTTCTCACAATCAATGTTACTGAGCGTTCCCATGCATGCTCAGTACTCCGATACAGCAGCCACTCCAAGGTACTCCTACTGATTGTTCCTATAAATAATTGGTCATAATTTGCCTCCTATCTCAGCCATGAAGGCAGCATAGACATGCTTAACCAGGCTTTACTCCCAGGTCAGGCAATCATGTTAGTGTCAGAGAATTGTCATTATCCACTAGCCCAGTCCGTACAGTGCTGTATGATATCTGCTCAATCCATGCTTCTTCCCGAATGCATTTGTGCATTGCTTACCAGTTGGTCTGCTCGCTGCAGGAGTGTAAAATACAGCTGTCCTGTCCTTTAGAGACAGCATCAAACACTGACCTCCAGGTGGCAAAAAGCAGACTTTTACGCCGTGGTGCATCAGACATATGATGCAGGATACACACTGTTTATTAGACCAATGAGCATTCAGGGGGTGCTGACAAAAAGCAGACTTTTACACCATGGTGCATCAGACATATGATGCAGGATACACACTGTTTATTAGACCAATGAGCATTCAGGGGGTGCTGACAAACAGCAGACTTCTGGGTGCATTGTGCACATGGTGCAAGACCCACACTGTTTATAGACCAGTGGGCATTTGGTGGATGATGAGGTCAACATCACACCAGGCTCCTTTAGTTCTTCTGGCTGCAGATATTTCTGGTTGTTCGTCCACTTCAGTTTTGCGTGTACATCCGTTTTACAAATCTGGCTTATTTGTATGCAGACTTTTGGTTCCTTGCCTCTCAAAGCAGATGCATTTCGAGTTTGAAAGAAACCCAAAATTAGTCAACTCTAATGATATTCATGTTATGGAAGCAGTGGATCGTTTCTCCCTCCCATCTCAACTCCACAATGGGTCCCCTGAACCCACATGAGGAGCCACCTTTACATCCCAATTCATTTCCTGGTACCTACTTTCGGGTGTGTCAGGTTGGGAGTCAAGCTAACCCCAAAATACCTTCAAGCCAGGATCTAACCACTGTACTATGTCTTCCCACTTCAAACTAGGCAATGTAATGGCAGAAAACAGAATACGCATACTGAACACTACAGAACAAAAATAAGTCTTTTAATATTAGATATAAACTTTAAAAATAAGGCTTATAGCAGAAAATATGAAGCAAAAATAGTGAACAAAGGTCTCATAATAAAAGATATAAAAACATAAAGTTATATAATACAAAAAAATTATTAAGTTGAGAATAAGATTAACCAAAAAACCAAACAAAAAAATAATCAGAAAACCAAATTATATTTATATCATAAGATAATGTATTTTCTTACCCCCAAAGCTCCAGACATTCTCTGCCTAACTCCATAGCCCTGTGTTTATAAATAAAAAAATTACAACATTCATAATTTGAAGTTCAGCCTGTGGTTCGCTCTAGCTGCTGGCTGATTTGTTTCATTCTGACCAGATAACCAAACCATTTGATTCTTTGATGTTCTGTGAAATCATTTACCAGTACTGAACCTACCACTGTTTTTGTTTTGTTCCACTTTGTTGACTCTGTCTCTTCTTGTCTAAACCTCCCCCCCCCCCCTTTTTTTCATTTCTTACACGTCTCACCTAACATGTAATTTTGCATTTTTTTTAAGGACTGTCCATGCTTGGCATTGAAAGCACAAAGTTAGCAACAGTATATAACAGTTAGTAACAGTATATAACAGAGTTAGTAACTGTATATAACATAGTAACAGTATATAATAACTATTGTACAGTATTAAAGAAGGAGGCAGTTGCGGTAGCATAGTTGACGGACGTTGCCCTACTGGTCTTAACATCAAGGGTTCAAATCTACGATGAGATGGAGTTTGTTTTAAAAACAGACCTTGGCTTTCGGATTGACACAGCCTAAAATGGCTACCAGGTAAAGTCTTGGGAAGTGAAGCAACCGACGTGTTCTTGACCATTTCACCCTCTGAGTGCAACAAGTGAGTACAAATATAGGTCTTACAATATATGCCCGGGTCACCCCGAAACGTTCTGGCCAACGGGGCTCTGGTGAAGTTGCGACAGGCCTAGCAAGCCGGCAATGGATTTATTATCGCTACAGAAAACACAATGAAAGACATCTTATTCAAAGCATATTTATTACAACTCTGTGCTACCAGTGCCAGACATGGTCGCTCACAACAAACCATAAAAGAAAATTAGTGACCATGGAAATGAGATGTCTGAGAAGGGCTGTAGGAGTGACCATAAGAGATAAGATCAGGAATGAGATCATAAGAGAAAAAGTAGGCACAGAACCAATTCTAAATTACATACAAAGACAGCAAGTGAAATAGTTTGCCCAATTACAGAGAATGCCTTGTGACACCATACCATACAAAGCATACATGGAAAGAGAAGAAGATCGTAGAGCAGGAGGTAGACCAAGAACAATATGGAAGGATAACATCAGAGAAGCTCTACAACAGCAGGATGTGCCTATGGTCGAGCCGGCCAGAAAAGCCAGAAACAGAACCTTATATCTCCCTCGACACCCACATCGGTAAAAGAGGAAGTGAAGAAGAAGAAGAATATATGCCCAAAGCATCATAGGTGTGAATAGAACTTATTTTCTTTATAGAACTACTTATTTTCTTTTCTTTCAATAGAGGGAATATTGTTTCCACTATATGTATTGTGCCTACTGTTTATTCTTGCAAGACTGAAAGACTAAAAAAAAAATTTTGGCAGGTAAAACTATAGGAGCTCAGCAATTTGCTGAACTGTTCTTCTTGAGTTGTCAGTCGAAGATGTGTCCAGATACAACTGCAGGATGTGCAGGAAAGCTGACAACAATATTTGCACTTTTTGGCTGAAACATTCCAGATCTTCAAGCCTTTGTTGACCAGGATGACATCTGCGGTTAGTTTTATGGGAAACTGCTTGGCCTCATTACTGTATTATCTCTGCTCTATCATCTACAAGTGCTACCCCCCCCCCCCCCCCTTTCCCCGCAGGTTTGTCTAGAACTGCCAAATGTATGTCCTCAAGGAAAAAGTAATTATTTGTTGACGACGCTGCAAATGTCATTTAACTTATGCTTGACTGCCAACAATTTTCAGGTGTGTCTAATATCTTTGAATGTGGTGTCATTGTAATATTTTTTGTTTCAATACTTATTCTTAAATAGTTTGGATTAATTCTATGCTAGTATACAGCTAATACTTTTTCTTCAGGATGGCTTTAGCTTTGTCAGGTTACAGTAAAAAAAAATTTATTCAGCTCCTAATTAATTAATTCCAAACCCCAGAAAAAAAAAGGCTATACTGAAAAAGTTTGGGGAAAAGAAAGCACCTATGACTAACCCCCAAAGAAATTAAACCAAGTTTGAGAGGACTACCTTCACTGCACTGAGTTATATCCCATACGGCCCTGCCTCTCTCTACAGAATGGTTAGCTCCCTGATGAGAGCGTGATGCACAGCAAAGACACTGCAATGCTACCCCTCCCCCAGGTTCTCCACTGAAAACTGGACTCGTGAACTGAATGAAACATGTGTATGAAACTTCTTCTTCTTCTTTTGTTCGCTTTGAAATAGATTATCTATATCTGCAATGTTGTCTCTAGTATATATTTCCCTCGTTTGTAATTCTCTCAGCAACCCGTAAAGTTTGACTTGCACTGATGTTTCTCTTAACCAAAAGTTTTGCCTTGATATGTTGTATTAAGGAAGTCTTGGAGGACATGATCTGTTGTCTCAGGTGCCAGTCCTAATGTGCACACGGCTGATTCGCCGATTAAAAATTTTGTGCACATGTGGCTGCGAAGTCAACTGTGTCGTGCTCTAAGGCGTAGAATAATGACTTGTTCTGATCTTTCCGTGAAATGGTAATCGTCTTGTGTCAGTTTTGGTGGTTTTCTGATTGATTTGATTACTGTCTTCTTTTGCTGATAAGAGACTTTTACGTCAGGTTGTTCTTCATTTGCACCTTCCTTAGCTAGTTTATCAGCTCTTTAATTTTCGGAAACTCTACAGTGGGATGGTACCCACTGCATAGCTACCTTAAACTGACTTGGTGCAACTTCTATGAAACAAGCCCATGTCCTCACAGGATGAAGTAAAAAGCTTAACCGCTTCACCACAGAAAACCCCAAGACCAAGTCAAAATAAATGGATACCAGGAAATATTATGGGAAGTAAAAGTGGTCATCAGATAATTTACCTAATCAAAATATTGGTCAATAAAATATGGGGCTAACATCATATAATGTACCCGATTTTACCATAACTTTTTATGTAAAAAGTAGCTACATAAGATAAGCGAATCTTGTTTAAGAAATAATTATAACTTCTTCTTAAAGTCCATGCCATGTGGTGTCGGTAGTCATGTCTAACCACAACCTTCTGTCTCACGAACATTCAATCATCTCTGATACAGATGATCTTCCTTGCCATGATGTCAGACTGTCTAGCATCTTTTCTCTTTGTCTCCCTCTGCCTCTCATCACTTCCAACTTTCCTACCGTCACGATGTACTCCAGTGTTCTCCTTCTAATCACATGACCATAGAATGTAGATTGTCTCCCCCTGATGTGGGCAATCCACTCTCTTCGTGAGTCAGTTTCCTTCAAGATGTCTTCATTACTCTTTTTATCTGTCGAGGGTATTCTCATCATCCGTCTATAAAACCAAATCTCCACAGCTTCCAAATAATTGTTCCCTAACCAACCTTTGATTAACTTCCATATTTCAAGATAGGATTTACATAGCTTGTAAGAATTCTTTTTCTCGTCTCAATTGACAAAAAGATTACATAAAATATTCTTCATTTTGTAAAATGCTACCTTTGCTTGAAGTATTCTACACTTAACTTCTTTAATACATCTTCCATCTATTGTTATCAGAGTACCTAAGTATTTAAACATATCAACTTGCTTGAGTTTTGTCCCATTTACTTTTATGCTGCATTCTGGAGGGTCAGTTTCCTTTGTAATAACCATTACTTCTGTTTTTCTAAATTTTAATTTATTATCAGTTATAATGACAGGTGTAATATTTTACCTTCCTGTGACCCACAGAAATATGAATCCCTCATCCTGAAGTTTAGGAATGTCCAGTCCCCTCATCTCATTGTCACCCATGGTTCCATAAGGCAGCTCCATGTGAATATCCCAGGGTGGGTCTGCCATAACAACGGCACATTTACCTAATGTTGACATGTCAAAATATCGCAGGTCACACTGGATCCACTGTGGAGAGAAAAATTACTATTTTATTTTAACTTTTCATTCCCTGAAAACACATTGTAAATTCATATATAATAAAAATAAAAAATTTAAAAAATTCATATATAACTAACCACAAGGGTAATGAACACAATTTATAGCTATCTAAATCACCCTTCCATTATTTATTTAGGAATGGCCATTAAAGCACACTGGGCATAACTACAGATTCTCCACCTTCCCTAGCAAATGTCTAAAGATGTAGATGCTAACTGTACCTAAATCCATAAAAAAGGTGTCTTCATTGGCTGTCTATTGTACAGCTTGAAATCCTAGTTGGTCATGCTTAGCTGGTCATATATCTTAGTACACTTGTTTCCATGGTGAAGTGCACACATCATCTGGAGGTGACAGGTTCGATTCCCAGCATAATAACTATAGCTTTTAATTGTTATGTTGTCTAGTATGTCCTTTTATCTATGAGAGCTGATCAATACACTCTCTGTCTCTTCATTACATACAATGTTTCGATGGCCGCCAGAGTTTCTCCCTCCCCCTGTTTATAACTGTTCCTGTAGCATACTGATTATACACTTGTTCTCTTCCTCCGTCGGCATCTGTTGCTCCGTCAGTGAGCGCATTTTGTATTGCCAGGGTGCCAGGTTCTATACTAGCTGCGGACGATTTGTCTTGCATTGGTTTCAACAGTGGCACCGAGAGCTGACCGTTCAAAAAAGCAATGGCAAACTACTGAAGGCAAAATTGCCTAGAAAAACCACAACAGCCAAAGAATGCTGGAGTTGGTTCTGCAACATCCTGTAAAGGATACGTAACTAACTTTCTCTTCCTGTGTTTGTATCTGTGTATGTGTGAGTGTTGCGTATATCTATGTGTGTGTCTGTGTATTTCCCTGCCTGCGTGTGTGTATGTGTGTACCTGTGGCTGTGTGTGTATGTGTGTCTGTGTGCATGTTTGTATGTGTCTTTTTGTGCGGCTACGTGTGTGTGTGTATAGCTGTGTGTCTGTATGTGTCTGGGTTGTATGCGTGTGTTTTAGAGTGTGTGTCTGTGTGGGTGACTGTGTGTTTGAGTGTGTGTGTGTATGTATGTAAGTATGTGTGTATGTAGTGTGTGTATACGTACGCATGTACGTATGTGTGTGTGTGCATGTTTGCATGCATGTGGATGTATGTGTGTACTGGGTGCCTATGTGTGTGTGTGTGTGTGTAAGTGAGTGAATGGGTTTGCGTGTGTTTGTAGGTGTGTGTGTTCGCACGCGAGCGAGTGCACATATTTTACCACCCATGCTTTTGTTTTTGACTTGATATTTAGAATATGTATATTATTACATGAACATAACAAGCTTTACTGATGAAATACAACTGCCATGTGAAAGATGGGTGTTTGGAAGGGCTGAATGTAAGACAGGCCTGTGTGCCTAATTTGTGACCCTTTGAAAATAAAGTTTGTTCGTTCCTTCATCCAATCTCCTGTCTTCTATCAGTATTTGTTCAGAAATGATCGTCCAAATGTTTCCTTTGTCCAGTATGAGTGTTCCCGTAGCTACTGCTTTTGTAGAAAAAGAAATCACAAAATCAGCTCTTTCATTCCCTAGCACTCCAGCACTGCCCAGACAATATATCCACGAGAGTCTCTGTAACGCTGATGTCTTCATGCCACATTTATCCATTGTGAACCTTCTGCAGTACTGACTGACAATCTGACAGTATAATTCCTTTGGTATCTCGATTTTCTGCTATCTAATTCCATGAACATAACATCTCTAGTCTCAATGTCTCTGTGACTTTTTATTTCTCTAATAATGTCACCAGTAGAGTTTTGGTAAGAAAAAACCCTACCTGTGGTGGGTACATCTGTACGCTACCATCATCTCCTATCTCTGATGGCAGCTTGCCTAGTAATGCCTCTTTCCTTAGTAATTCAGCAGATGGCAATTTCTTTGGGTAATCAATCTCATAGTGGACATACTGGGATAAAAAACAGTAGATATAAAAAAGAGACATTTAGCAAACAAGCCAGAAGTGCATGTATGTACATGTATACACACATATATATATATATATATACACAGTACATTACGCGATAAGCGGCCCACAATGCGAGTGACTATCCTTCCCAATAATGCCCCGATCTGGTGTAGAGCTTGCACTATGTCGCAGGGATTTCAGGCATAGCCAATCGTATTTTACTCCTTGTTGTCAGCGGCCGGCGATATTGTGTCTTCTATGCTTTGAGCTTTTAATGGTCCGTCCCAAAACATGTAGAACTGCGCCTAACCCCAAACCCCTACTCCACAGCCCCAGCCTATGTCCCACGACTGTATGCAGCCTCTATTATACACTGCATACAAATGTGCGACCTAGGATACACCCCTGCGGCATAGTGCAAGCACTACACCAGATTGAAGCATCAATGGGAAGGGAGGTCAATCTCATTGTGGGCCGCTCAACGTGATTAGAACCATATATATATATATACATATATTTAAACAGCTGAAAGAAACAAGATAAATGAAATATTATATTATAGTCCAAAGATGATCATACATTAGAAACAAATGACATTCAATTTATAAAAACATGCCTTTTAACATTAGTCAGAGGAAAGGTATATATCTATGTTCATCTGAGAATGTTACTGTGTTGTCTCGTTTACAGTATGGCTGCAATAAATGTGCCCTTAGGCTGCCACATTTGACTTTTTCAGGCATTTGTTAGCCTTCCCGGTATACAGTACTTTTTTTTTTTAAAGGACGAAGAAAACAACACATGAGTCAAAAGATAAACAAACACTAAAATCACAGACAGTAGATATGTGTAATGAGTCAAAAGATAAACAAACACTAAAATCACAGACAGTAGATATGTGTAATGAGTCAAAAGATAAACAAACACTAAAATCACAGAGAGCAGATATGTGTAATACAACATACTGTAGGGCTGTTCAACTACGTTTACTCAGGAAGCAAAATGTTGAAATGGGTTTATAGCAAAAGTGAATGGACGTCGCTTAGTGCAACAAAGCCTGGCATATATCACGTCTAGTTTGAGAATGGAGGTGGAGGCAGTCACTGCTGCCTTCCACTGGCTTGAGAATCCGCTGTACACAAGTGCAGTGATTGTAACTGACTCACAGAGCATGTTGAGAATGGTGGAGACAGGTATGCTCCGTGCAGAGTGGCAAAGCATCACTTCCAAGGTCCCGGGTAGTTAGTATTATTTGGTTATTCTCTCCAAGTCATGCTGGTGTGTTGGGAAATGAACAGGCAAGATAGACTGGCCGGTTCTGCACCACTTAGTCATGAATGACAAGCCAGACTTTGTGAGTGTCCTCTGGAAGCGAGTAAACAGTGCCGAAGCGCAAATAGATCATTACGGTCTGAGGAGAATGGTGCTGCGAGGAGTTAGCAGGGGATCTGGCCGGCGCTCAACACTCAAGGGAAGGGCGAGACAGATAAACAATCAGTTATTGGTGTCATCAGAATTGGAACTCTTCGTTTGCTGCTGAAGATGGGGACAGAGCACTGATAGGGGTGTCCCAGGGGCTATGATGTCGACACTTAATTCAACACTCAACATTTAAGGTTGAAAATGGGGATTGTCATGGCCCCAAATCCCATGCCCCAGTGTAAAAAAATTAATTAATTCAACTGGCTATGATAGGCAGGCCACTTGCCAGGTCTCTGTGGGCCCATTTTGCCTTTTGGCCATCATTTAAACAGCCCAGACACACACATTAGAAGATAAGCAAAGATTAGAAAGAAAAAAGAAACTAGCAGGAATGTAATCTAGGAATCAGGAAGAAGATAAGCATACACGGTAACCAGGAAAAGTGAAGTGCAGGATATTTTCCCCAAAAGTGGTGCATCAGGCATTTGACTCACATTTTTTATTGAAACTCCATGAGTGATGTGCCAGCCATCTTTTATTTCGCAGGATATTTATTACATGGTACCTATTTTAGGTGGAGCAAACTGGGAGCCAAGGTCAGTTTGTGTTAATATGTCCGACATACATTCGAACCCAAGACTTTAAGATAGACAGGCAAGTATCTTGCCAGTACATCATCACAGCACCCATATATTGAGAAAAAAGTAGATAAGAGGAATATAAAATCTAAGTCAGAAGGTGAGTTTAAAAAAAAAAAAAAGCATTTTTTTAAAGCAATCATCAAAATGATAAATATAAAATTTTGAGGCATAAATGTGACACCTTTATGAGTTGGGGATAAGCAGATATGAGAAAAGAACATTAAATAATAGGAGGACTATAATTTATTCATAAGAAAATAAGTCTAAACAGCTGGAAAACAGATGCGGGTCCGATTTACACGATAACAATACAGTAAACAAAGTAAGGTGAAGAGACGAGCTTCCATCAGCAACGACAAAATAAGGAAACAAAACACACACACACACACAAAATCAAACGAGGAAACAACTACATTACAACATGGAACAATATGAAATGAACTGAGCAAGCATAATGAAATAAAATGCATGAAACTCAACTTAGTAGCCTCGATTTTGAAAGAATGAAATGAATTCATGAGTTGCTCTATAAAGGCTTGCTCTATATAGGCTCACACAGGTTGGAAGATGTGCTAATGTAGGTGTAGGACCTTACTGATACACCCGATTAGCAAAGCCCACAAGTAAAGATGGGAAAGTGAGAGTGGCTCCCCTGTGAGGTGGATGAGGACAAAAAATAGAAGCAGAAAGAAAATTAAACTGTCTACTTTTGGAAATTGAAAGGAGAACAAAAAGGATGCTGCTTAAACTAAATTTAAAAATTAGTTAACCTAACCAGAAGCATAACACACTCCATAAAGTCATGGTGCACGTTTTACTGGTCACAGGAAAGCAAACAAAAAAAGACAGAATTTGAAATCTGCACCAAATACAAGAAAAACTCTTCAAGTTTTGTAGTATGATGTGCAAACGTGTGCGCACACAGGTGATGACGCAACATCATGAACAACATCACGAACTGTGCTGAATAGGTATGAAACTTGGAGTTTTTTCCTTTCGTTTGGTGAAGATTTCACATTTCTATCTTGTTTGGTTAATTTCCTGTGACCGATCAAAAGTTCACCATGACTTTATGGACACACAGTATTTTAAGTGTGCGATTGAGGTGCTGAAATGTCTTTGTCCCCAAATGTCCACATTTTGCTAGTTCTTATGAGATTTGCTTTGGTGGCCATATCTTTCTATGTATCGTAGGTGGTGTTAATGGCCTGAGAACCTCACTTTGAACATTGTATGTTGATTTCTCTCAAGTTAAAATTAAGAAGATCGACTTCGCTGCCCTGGGTTACCCCATGTGGCTCGATTTCTATCCACCAAACAACCAGCCACCTACTGAGAGCTTTACACAAAGCACAAACTTTGTAGCTCCAGCAACGATCCCCAGGGATCTCCACAAAAATTGTACTCATGAATTAAACATTGCGTCAGTGAAACAGAACCAAGATATTCACAGCGCCTAAGCCACAGACGCTGACAGTTGTGACATTATATTCCAAATTTTGCCAATTCATATGACCAAAAAGTTATGCATCGCATCTTTATGATTTTGCAATGATTCCTCTGAATTTCAATCTCTTTCAAAACATTCTGAATACTTTTGGATATCTAAGGAATTTTTAGCAGCCTTCTGTAAAATCATATTTCTGTAGTTTCATAGAATTGTACTGTCTGTTTACTAATTGCCCAGTACACAATCAATAAAACTGGTTCTTTGAAACATGAAAGAATGTTTCTTTTGTTGTGTTTTTAACTGTCTTCTATTTAATATTTCTCAACCTTTTCTACCTTCTAATGTCATGGACATTTAACATAAGATGTTCATTTTATAAAAGGATGTTTGTCATATTGTGTTCTTTATTTATGTGCTACTAACTAGTGGTGTTATCTATGTACCCAAGCAAATCAATTTCTATACCTTCCCTATAATAATACCATTGACTTTTACTGTACATTTTTGACACAATTCATTTGCCTGATAACACCATTACTTTTACATTCTTATTCTTTAGAAGCATTTTCATTTTTGTTTCTTTCTACTTTGGGAAAGATGGAGACAGAGCACTTATAGGCGTGCCCCGAGTGATGTTGATTCTTAATTCAACATTCTTTCTGCTTTGTACAACAGCTTTATTTATAAGTGTCTCTCATTCCTTTTAATCCATTACTATCAGGACAGTATTATATGACTGCATACTACTACAATAAACACCTTAATTATATCGTCTCAATAGAGTCTCAATCGAGAGATATTTTTAAATAGCTGATCTTGGCTTCCAGATTTACCATGTCGACCACATCTGCAAATAACCACATCAGCAACTGACCACATCATCAATTGACCACATCGGCAACTGACCACATCGGCAACTGACCACATCAGCAACTGATCACATCAGCAACTGTGGCGCTGTGATTTATGTCACAGGCGTGAGGGGAAGTTAAGTCCAACATGATGTGTATAAGGAGATACTCCGCACGTCACTCGGACGCCAGTCCTTTACTATCCTGGTTGTACGGAACCTCACGCAAGACCCCTACAGCACGTCCTCGTCGTGCGCCACGGATAATGTCTCAAATGAGCATTAACAGAGCTGTCAGGTGATCTCGGAGTTCGGCGGCCCCCAGAGGTGAGGTGTCCTTGTGGCTCTCATTAGCCCGCCCCCAAACGCTTGGGTGAAAAATGTTATCAAAACTCATTAGGAACATGAGTAGGTTTGCCAAACGTACAGCCAAAATTACAACCCTTGATTAAAAGACTGCGGAGTAAAGAGAACATTGTTCACTGCACATCCTCTGTTAACCCTCAGTGTTGTCGTCACCGCGCTGAGGTACACCACAACAGCAACCATCCATAGGCTGGCCATCCTTGTACATCCTTGGTTAACCCTCAGTGTCGTCGTCACCGCGCTGAGGTTCACCACAACAGCAACCATCCAT